TTTTTAATTTTTTTAGTACAGGGACTTTGACCTGATTTTGGAGCAACTTTAAAAAATCATTAAAAATCTAATTTTGATCAGAATTGGCTGAAACTTTCTACACAACATTAGAACATTTATACACATCAGACAAAAATATAAAAAGGAAGAAATTTCACCTTTTCATTTTTGACGAAATTTGGCTAATTTTCCTTTTCAAATTTCAATTTTTATATTATTTGTTGTTTTTAGGGTTATTTCCAGCTAAATTTAGGGTAAGCCAGGAGCATGGAAGCTGAGACTAAGAGAAGGAAGATCATCAGAAGTATATCAAATATCAAGGTACAACTGTTTGTACAATATACTAGTATGTAGTAATACTTGTACCCGTAATTTTATGATCTACATTACTACTTATGTAAAGTTCCTTTCTCTCCTTTTCTCTTCTCTCTTTATAATCTCTCAGTTACTATCAGTCCAGAGTTCGTTCAGGTGGTAATGTATCCTCAATACCAGTTACTGTGTCCAGTTTTACCGGTAATCACTTAATAGTACGAGTGACAAAGAAGCCAGGGATGGAAAAGGCCAGTCTCCTACTGAGCGAGACCGAGAACCAACAAGCCCCACCCACTGGCTCTGCCTCTAAACAAAATGGTGGAATAATTGACTCAATCTCAAAGTTAGTTTTGTGTGTATTTTTATTTTATTAATATTGTGGTACAGGTTCTTTGTACCTGATGATGCTCCAATCATTACTGGGTCTAATGATACAGTCCCTACCACTGATACTATTAATATATTCTCAATAGCTTCTGGACACCTTTCAAGTTATGATGAAAGATTCCTAAGGTTAGGAGTGTAGATAAGGAGAGAAAACTAAGACAGACATTATTATACTTTATTTGTGAGTGATTTTTAAAAGGTTTGATGGAGAGAGACAGAGAGAGAGAGAGGTACATGTAATATGCAATAGAATAAGTTAATGTAAAGCAATAAATTTACTTTGTGTACATGCATATATTGGTTGGTTGTGAGAGGCTTGTTACATTAATTTTAAAATTGGAGTTACATGTACTGTATGTGTATGAGTGTATTACTAGTGGAGTGTTATTAGTGTTTGTATTGTGTAGGATTATGATGCTAAGCGTTCTGAAACACACTAAAAATCCAGTGAAGTTTTGGTTCCTGAAAAATTATTTGTCACCACAATTCAAAGTAAGGAAAGCTGTAAATACATGTAATTATAAATGTTTGTACATCAATAAAATCATTATTATTATTATTATTATTATTATTATTGATTGTTTCATTCCCAGGATGGCTGAGAGGTATGGGTTTGAGTATGAGCTGGTACAGTACAAGTGGCCACGCTGGCTTCATGGACAAACTGAAAAACAAAGATTAATCTGGGCGTGAGTATTTATTAATTTTATTAATAATAATAATTATTATTATTTTAGGTACAAGATATTATTTCTAGATGTACTTTTTCCGTTAAATATTAAGAAAATAATTTTCGTCGATGCTGATCAGGTATACAATGTAGTTATAAAATTCCTATTAGTTATAGTTTTAAGTAGTTACTAATGTTATTAATAATTATCAATGGTTATTGTAATATTGGGTTGTGCTGAACTAGGCTATGATTGCTGAAGATAGAAGGCACAGCTACTACAAGCATTTACTGCTCAGTGACTAACATGATGATTATATTAAAGTTAACACAAATCAATAACTTTACTGAGCATGTACAAGGATTGTGTATGCATAGTGTTCAAATTAACTATTATCATAACAATACAGTTATTAGTAGTTATTGGTGGTTATTAATAGTTATTGATGGTTATTAATAGTTATTATTGGTTATTAATAGTTATTGATGGGTATTAGTAGTTATTGGTGGTTATTGATAGTTATTAGTGGTTATTAATAGGTGGTTCGTACTGATATGAAGGAGTTGTTGGAGGAGCCATTGGATGGAGCACCTTATGGATACACTCCTTTCTGTGATAGTCGTACTGATATGGATGGATTCAGGTAATTAATGATACCGTATAGCGGGATTTATTGACGAGTAAAAAAATTGACGAAAACAGTAAATTTCTCTGGTTGACGAGTTTTAATTTGACGAATAGTGCCCTTCGCGTACACGTGGCACAAAGTACAAAATTTTTGATGGTTATTAAATTTGACGTTTTATTTTAAATCGTCAACTCGTCAAAATAAAACCTTCGTCAATACGGTATGTAGTATTGGTATAATAATGGACACTGTTGGGCTAAAAATGAAAAGGAGAGACTTTTTCATTTTAATAGTTTTTCTTTATACCCATACATGTTCTTATGTTGTGTAGAAAGCTTGAGCTAATTCCAATCAAAATTAGATTTTTTTACAAATTTTTAAAGTTGCTAAAAAATCAGGCCAAAGTCCCTGTACTATAGTACAGGGTTATGAGCTCAATTTTGCCAAAAATGAAAACTAGAGAATTCTTTATTTTTATAATTTTTCCTGATACGTATACATGTTTGTATGTTGCATTGAAAGTTTGAGCTCATTTTGATCAAATTTGGATTTTTTATAAATTTTTAAAGCTCTAATCCTAAAGCCATGTAGTGTCAGCTCATAAAGTGAGATGTGGTTTTTAGCTCACTTATCATGCTTTATGGGGAAACCCTGGAAACAGGCTTCTTTTTTTAGTGTTCTCCTCAATCTCCTATATTTTACTGTCCTTAATGTAGACAGGCTTTTCATGTTCAAAGAGGCTTTTATTCATGTACATATACATTGTGTATATTATGATTAATGGGTTATATTGTTGTATTATCTGTTCCT